CAGGTGGAATGGTGGTTAAGGTGCTGGACTTCTCACATGGCCGATCACGGTTCGAGTCCTGTACCTGATGTCTTGCTTTCTCACTTTCTCTCTCTCTGTCTCTTTATCTCTTACTGGTCAAATTAAAGAATAAGAATAATTTTTAAAAATAAATAAATAAAATAATTCTTTTTTTAGAGAAGAATTACTTATTTCATTTTATTTATTGCTATTATCATTATTATTATTTTAATTTGGGTACATGCATTTACCAGAGAGAAAGAGAGGGAAAGTAAGAAAGCAAGGCACCAGGTCTGGGACTCGAACCACGGTTAACCATATGGGAGTCCAGAGCCTTAACCACCACACCACCTACTGACCCCCACACATGGCTTTTAAAAATAAAATTCAAACCTGTGGCCAGCTGGTGGCTTTGTGATTAAGGTCCTAGATCTCATATGGCTGACTTTGCAGTGAAAATAAGTCCCAAATTTGGTGGCTTAAAAAATACAGCAGGCACGGGACCAGCAGTTAGTGTAATGGCTATGTCACTGGACTCTCACGCAGTCGACCCCGGTTTGCGTCCCGGACCCGGTGGCTTAAAACTCACGCCAGGCGCGTGTGCGTGTATGTCCAAGATCCCAGGAGGAGAATGGAGGAGAAGGGATTGCGGCGTGGCCATTCACCCCGGAGGTTGATTTCTCACTTTCTGTCTCTCTGTCTCTCTCTGTCTCTCCAGTGAGCACATGTGCCCTATAGCAAAAATCTCTCAAATTTTTTTTCAAATTCTCACTAGCTGTGTGGCCTTGGGTAAGTCAAGTAACCTGTCCGTGCCTCAGTTTCCTTGTCTGTAAAATGAGATGAATCATCTACGAACCTTGTTAGAATTCACGGGCTCACAGGACGCAGGGCTGAGCGCAGTGCCGGTCCACAGCGAGCTGGGCGCCCTGTCGGGGCCGCTGCCACTATCTGCTCACCCACACCCCTCTCAGGCCTCACCCTGCACTGCCCCTGCTGATTACAGCCAGGAAACACATAGGAGCAGCTGTAGCGGCTGTGGTATTTCCTCTCAGCGTTTAAACCGAATGGGAGCGTTAACGCCGTCCTATCCCTCCATCTCTTCCCCGTAATCTTGTCTCCGGATCACAGGGTCGCGTCCGGGTCTATCTGGACACGCATCAGGCCCGTCCTTCACAAGAGTCTCCCACGATGGCTGCATCCGTCATGCCTGTTAACCCGAAGTAAGAGAAGCAGAAGTTATATTTTATTGTGTGTGTGTGTGTTTTTATACTAAGTAAATGATGCTTAAAAGTTTATTTTTTTCATGAGAGAGAGAGAGAGACAGGAGGCCCCAGCAGGGTCTTCTCATGCCGAGATCTGTCCCCAGCTGTGCAGCCAGCCAGGATCCCGGCACACCTGGCGTGTTCAGGTCCACCTGGGCTCCAGGCCTCGAGCCTTCCCAAGGCTCCAGCATCACACGGCATCGCCCCACTGCCTGCACCGCTGCGGCCAGATCATACGCCGTATGTTTGTAGAGATTATCTTCACAGCAGGCCCCGCTCATCCACACAGGCTATGTTCCAAGACCCCTAGTGGGTTCCGGAAATCGCGGGTCCTGCGCTGTTTCCCACGTGAATACACAATAATGATGGCATTTTACGTACAAATGAACCACAATTGCTAAAAATAAAATAGAACAATCATAACAATATACTGTAAGAAAGGTCATGTGGGGCCTGGTGGTTGCTTAGCAGTAACACAACTGGGCCCAGATGGGAGAGATTCGGGTTTGAGTCCCCGGACCTCCCTGGGACTGCTCGCCATCCAGGCAGGCCAAGGCTGGGGTGGATCGCAGCTGGAAGAGCCTTTCGGAGTGCCTGTCTCTGTCTCTGTCTCTCTCTCTCCTTCCCTCTTTCTCTCTGTCTGTCTCTCATGGAAGTAATAAATAAATAAACTTAACAATAGTTATGTAGGGGCCAGCAGGTGGCATGGTGGCTAAGGCACTGGGCTCCCACGTGGCCGACTATGGTTCTAGTCCTGGATCCGGTGGCTCAAAAATCAAGCTGGACATGTGTGTGTGTGAGTGCCCAAAAATCCTGAGAGGAGAGAGGAGAAGGGATTGTGGTGTGGCCATTCCCCCTGGCCGGGCGATTTCTTACTTTCCTTCTCACTGTCTCCTCTCAGGGTGGCACAGTTGCCCTATGGTGAAAACCTTAAAAATCAATAATAAGTAAATAAAGTTACATGGATGTGAGCTCTCTCTTTGGACCAGAGTTGACCACAGGTAGCTGAAACCACAGAAATAAACCTAGATAAAGGGGGACTGCTGTATAGGCGATAGCTATAGCTAAAACATTAAAATTATTGGGACCAGCAGGTGGCATAATGGTTACGTTGCTAGACTCCCATTTAGTTGACCACAGTTCAAGTCCCAGACCTGGTGGCTTAAAACCCATCCCAGATATATATGTGCGTGCATGACCAAAATCCCAGAAGGAGAATGGAGGGGACAGGATTGCGGCAGCCATCCCTCCAGGGGGTGATTTCTCACTTTCTGTCTCTCTGGCAAGCCCATGTGCATTATAGCAAAATCATTGTCTAAAAAAAAAAAAAAAAAAAAAAACAGACAGGGTCTTGTTATGTTGTCCAGGCTGACTTTGAACTCAGGACCCTCCTGCCTCAGCCTCCTAAATAGCTGGGATTATAGGCCGGTGCCACCGTGCCTGTGTGCGTGCGTATTCGTGTATCAGCCAGTCTCGCTGGAACCTCTGCTCTGTGAAACACGACGCGCTGGGGGAACGTGGGATTCCTTTCCCACAACTTCAATCCGGCCTCCTCTTGGAAAAGCACGCATGCTGCCCAGAAGCCCCGGGTGGAAACCACGCACGTGCTCACCCACAGCGGGATGGGTAGACACACGTGGAATATGTGCCCTGAGGACTGTCCTACAGCAGAGAAAGCCGAGACTGCCGCGGGTTGGGGTATACAACGTCAACGAGGAGGCCACGGACGCAGAGAGAACAGTTCCCTCCCGTCCAGTTCAGATACAGGCAGGACTCTGGGGTCAGAAGTCAGGTTTGACTACCCTTGGGCCAGGGTAGGGATTGGAGCACGCCCAGGGGGGCTCTGGGAGCTTGACCAGCGGGTTCTGGCTGCTAGGGTGTGTTCAGGGTGCAGGGTGCAGGGAGCTGCCCATCCTTTGGATTGCAGTCTGTAGGCGTGTCACACAGACAGGAAAGCTAAGAAGCTCCGTGAGAACAGGAGAACTGCCAGAGCGGACGAGCACACTGGGCATATGTGCTGGGCGTGTGCGCTGGGCCTGCGGCAGCCCGGGGTAGCCGGAGCCACCAGGATCCCTGCAGGTCCGAGGGGCTGTTTCCTAACCCCCACTGTGATGAGCCTTTGTGGGCTCTGACAGGGCTTTTCTGTTGGACCATCTGAGTCACTTCCAGGATTCTGACAAGTATTCCAATGTGGTGATGGAACCAGCAGTTAGCGTAATGGCTACGTCGCTGGATTCCCATGTAGTCGACCATGGTTCGAGTCCCAGACCCGGTGGCTTAAACACACACCGGGCACGTGTGCGTGTGTGCCAAAGATCCCGAGAGGAGAAAGGAGGAGAAAGGATTGCAGCATGGTGACAATAAGATTTCACTCCCTGGGCAGCAGATGGAGTGGAGGTTAAGGCAGTTGGATCCCACATGGCAGACTACAGGGTTCGAGTCCCAGACCTGGAGGCTTGAAAAACACAGTGGGTGTGTGTGCGTGCATGCCCAAA